TTCAAGTGATGCACAGATGGAATGCAGTAATTTGGGCAAAGCTGAACTAGTTTCTAGTGGAGCAGGCTGGGAAGGTGGCTCAATGAAGCCATAGGCAGGTCACCTGCACTTCATCAGCATGGATTTCACTTCCTTATGTAGTCTGTGCTTCCCTGTTGCTTATTCTTGGAAAATCTTCCTCCATGGACTTTAGTAATTTGCATGAATGGAGATGAATGTTCAGTATTCAGAAACATGACCTCTAAAAAAGTTTTCAACTTGAAAGCACTAAGTTTATAGCATGTTTTAATGTATTACCAGTGTTCAAGGGTACATAAAAGAGTACCAAAATTCGAATGAAATGTGACATGCAGACATTATGAATGCACTGCGCCGTAGGGAGAGCTCATGCTGCCTTGTTTATTGTATTTACTTCTTTCCATTACAAGAATTCTGAAGGTGCACCAATATAAGTGTTGGTGTAACTCCACCATAATGTCCATGCCTGGACTGAATTTGACCTAAAAATACTTAAAATTACTGGTATCTTCTTGCATAAATGTCTTAATACAAAACTATGTGCATCTTCATTTGACTGCACATGGCTCTGATACATTCATGCAGCTTGCTCTGTGAGTTACTCTCCCCAGCAACACACAATTTGGGCAATTATTTAGTAGGGCTCCTCTGTGTAATTTCATGCATGACTGACATGCCCTGCAGTCATCCTTATGGTCCTTTGAAGATGGAGGCTGCACAGGGAGCAGCCCTGTGGTAAAGCCCTCGTTCCCTTTGAGTTTCACCATCGGCTTCTATGGGCCCAAAGTTTCACCCTAAGTGTGCTGAATCTCTGAACTGCTCCGAGGGACCAAGAACTGAGATAAGTTTAATTGCCTTGGGTGTTAAGCTCAGTTGTGGTTTATTTTAAGCATGCAGGGGAAGCACTTCTTGAAGAGTGATTTGAAGAGACAGGCTAAAAACGAGCACACCCCTGGGAATGGCTGAGGATGGCCTCCTTGCAGAGCTCACATCCAGCTCCTCATTTAAAATGTTGTTATCTAATGAGCACAAGCAATTACTTAGCTAATGAGCACAACAAAATGAGCACGAGAATGCTGTTTCATCTGCAGTGGCTACTTGAAAGACATGATTTTGAGCTTGAGGCTGCCCTTGCTTTAAGACCCAGTCATTGCAGGGAGATTAATCCAGGGCATAAATCACAGGGGTTAGATTAGTGTTTGTTTTACTTGAATTCACTTTTCTTGCTCTCTTATCTCCTCTAAATCTTGCAACTTCTTAGCTCAGTCATGAACCAGGGAGTGGAATGGGTTTAAACAGCCACAGCTTCCCTCCTGAGCACTGGCTGTCAGCCCTCAGGCCTGATTTACCACTGCAACGCAATTATAAAATGGCACAGTGCAATTAATGTGTCTTCCCTCCCCTTTCATGCCAGACAGGAATTCCTGAATTCTTCCTCCACCTTCCTCAGTTGGAGTGATTGTTATAGTATAATCTAAACTGAGATGACTCTATTTGGCTTTAGTCAGGGATCCACCAGACTTGGAGACATTAGGAGCTGGTTGTACTTCCCAGTTAGGGACAGTTTTGTGGGCCTATTGCTGTTCCTGTGCAAGTCCAGATTGTTTGTGGGCCTCTTTCTGGCTGGTTTTGTGGTTGCGTTTTCCCACCTTTTCAGCTGACAGTTACAACCGGAATAACAAGGAAAACATAGAATTAATTGCCTACATTTTTCCATTGATTGAGCAAAAACCATGTGAGCTCAAGATATTCCCTCACTACCAAGTGAACTCCCAGCCTTCCTGGTGTCAGTCTACCTGATCATCTGCAAATGCTTCAGAAAAAACATCTGACATCTGCCAGAGCTCTGATACTGCCTAGATGTATGAATTTTGAGAGTAAGGCCAGAAAGTCAAGGTCTTGGCTTCTGGTAAACACCAGAACCTCTGGACCTGCAGGGAGCTGTACCTTTGGGGGATCATCTGGTCACACATGTTCTGCACAGTGTTTGAGATGCTGGTACATAGCCCATACTGATGAAAGCAGTGGGAAAGAAAATTTCTGTGCATGCAAGGATAGGTAAAAGTTATATGTGCAAGTTTTTAAGTTAACATTAAGACTGGTGTAACAACATTTTTTTTATTTTTAATCAAGAAAATGCACTGTCAATGAGAGGTAATTTTCCCTGCATTTTTTCCTGATGTATTTCAGGAAATATATACATGATGAACATATAAATTTTTTGATTTTACTTCTTATGGATATGTTTCATTATGCATGAGACATTACTCAAACTGTGTACAAGAAATCAGAAATCTTAATGATTTTTTTAGATTTTCAGGAAAAAATGTTGCCCTTTGGGGGAGGTAAAATAGAGTTACATGAATGAAAAGGAAATATTGATTTCTTTCCCCCCATGAAACTTTTCAGAGTCATGGCTATTGTCAAATTAAATTGAAACTGTAGCTAAACACTGTAACAAATTAGTAAATGGCATATTGAGACTCAAGGAAACTTCACTTTTTTCTGTGCTCTCACAAAGGTAGGGATGACTTTTGCTCCTTAATTTAGTTACAAATTTCTCCCTAAGGCTTTGGTTTTTGCTGCCCTCCACCCTTTGCATACCACAGGAATTAGACTCAGGAGGTTTCACTTACGTGGAGTACAAGGAATAAGCAAGAGCTGCCAAAAGTTAGAGCAGAGCCAAGACAAAGTGGCACTGCCTGAAGGCTTCCCATGTCCATGGTTCTCTGAGGTCAGTGAATTGTTGTCTTTGTTCCTGATGCTGAGCCTGAGGACAGATGAACAAGTGCTGCAGAAGTATCTCAGCTGAGGTTTTCAAACTTGTTTTCTTGTTGGCCTAACTCAGTCTTGCTGAAACCCAGGGAGGTTTTCCGACTGGTTTTAACAGCACCCGTGACACAATGCTGAAGGTTCTTGAAATGCCCACCTGTCTGCTGTGAACAGGTTTGTAGTTCAAAACCCAAGTCTGATGCCTTTGAGGAGAGAAAGCTTCCCTAGAGGGAAAGGAAACATTTGGGATCCTGCTTCTTTTCCCTTGCTCAATATTCTTAGTTTTACTTGTATATAAGCATGGCTGTCCAGTACCAGAAAATCTTTTCAGGTGCACAATGATTTGGAGAGAATTTCTCTCAATATGTGTAGCCCTCCAGAATGGTTTCAGTTTTTCTTTGCTTTTTTGAGATGAAAAGAGTTATCTGTGCTGGAACCATTGCTTAAATTCCTTTGCAACTCACTGGATTTTGCATTAAATTAAATTTCACATGCTGAGTGAGCAGCCAACCCTTATGAGCCTAGAGGAAAGAATATGCTCTTTCTATGCATTTTAATGTGATGGTCAAGCTGGGGCTAATACTCCCAGGCACCTCCTTTGGTGTTCACCTCACCATCTTAAATCCTGTATTTTTAAATGAAATGCCTGCATTTTATTACCTTTGTAAATGGAAAACAACAGCATATGTTCTCTGCCTGCTAGAAAAGGCCTGGATTGTTTTGGTTTGAACTTTAAAATAAAGGTCAGACTTGAGGCAGGCATGAATTCTTGCATGTGTCAGCCCAAAAGGTGAAAGCTGTAGGAAGTTATGAGCAACTGCAAATGAGGCAGCTTCAAATTGCACTTGAAACTGGAACAGCTGTTGTTCAAAGCATGACATTCAGAGTTATAATGCTAAAGATTCTATATATTACATTCAGGAAGAACTCAAAAATAGAAAGTACTCACTGAAGCAGAGAGAAAATTGGTTTGGGTGGCACATGGTTGAGCAGGAACAGCCTTTATGTTAATGGCACAGGGAGAAGATTATGGGAAAGCCCAAATATCGAGGTGGGTATAAGAAAAGTGAACAGAGAGAAGACAAAAGAGACCAGGGGAGCCTAAGGGAATTTCTGAGGAAGGATTTTCCAGTGCCTCCTTGCAAGTGAAATTAATTGTTTTGGGGCTGGAATTCACAGCTCTGTATCACAGGGACTTAACGAGGCTGGTGGATTACCTCGCTCTGTGGTCTCAAAATGCTCTGACAGGTTCATGTGTGTCAGGCAAACATTATGGTAATTTTAGTGCTTTAGGGGCTCTACAGGAGTACATAAATACCACCCTAGCCATCCAGCTGAATTTAAAACTTAATTACTGCCCCACTCAATAATATTCTCCCCCCCTACCACTGCTTTAGAGGATCACAGGGTTAAAAGAAATCATTAATCTTCCTTAATGAAGCTATTTTCTAGCAGGAGACAGAATGTCTTGCCCCTGAGGATTCTGAGATGGAATTTTTGTGAGTGTTATGAATGGGGGAGTGGGGAGCAAGTGCTAGAGGAAAAGCAGAAAAGGGGGTAGGACCCAAAATGCCAGTAGTGGGAGAAGCCCCTGACTCACAGTCCCTTCCTGAGTTTAGCTAAATGAATGTAATAATCATGGGGGAAGAGGAATGAGCCCTATTAAAAACTGTCTAAATTGGCTGTATAACAGTGTTCCCACCACAACTACTAATTATTGGAATACCAGCAATTTATATATCTATGTATTTACCAGCTTTTATACAACTGAGACAAGAGCTGTCTTGAAATTGTGTATCTCCAGAGAAATCTAAAGCAGTTTGGGGATGGCAGAGTTCAAGTCTTTACTTTTAACTGTCAAGGTGGATCCACGTCCTCAAAGCTGCTTTTCCTGGGATTGTACTGTCTTGTATTATGATTAAATGGCATGCAAGTGTTTCAAAATATCTGACCATCCCAGTGCAAATCCTTCCTTTTGCACCCATACAAGGGGATGAAAACCTGCTCTCAAAACAGTGCAAGGAGCACTGGGTCCGTGGCTCCTGTGGCACCCGCTGTGTTGGGCACCATCACCTGCCTCCTGCCAGGGTTGGTTGTGGAGGCAAGGATGGCCTTCCCTCTCTGCAGGTTGTGTCTGTTTGATGTTCCCTTTAGCGGGGACACTGAAGTGCTTTTGTTTCTCTGTTTCTGGTGCCCATCCCCGGCTGCAGAAGATGCTGGATGAGTGCCAGGACAGGCGGAGCTGCCAGTTCCTCGTCAACAGCCGGCTCTTTGGGATGGACCCCTGCCCCGGGACCGGCAAGTACCTCCTCGTGTGGTACAAGTGCAGGCCAAGTAAGTATTTCTCTATCAAATCTCTTTGCTCTGTTGAGACCAAAGCATTTTCATACTTAATATTCACCAGAGAGCCCTTCTAGGACTTCTTGCTCCTTTCCACCTCTATTTTCAGCGTAAGATAACTCTCAGTGTGGAGCATTTCCCTTTCGCCCCTCACTTTCTACCTTGCTGGGATGCTCCTGCTCTGCCTCCTTCCTGCTTGCCAGCAGCCCGAGTTTCTGCAGGGGCCAGTGCCAGCCTTTGCCAGTGTTCAGCTCATGGTGTCAGTGGTGGGTGGGCTCCTCCTGATCCCTCCTGCAGCTGCCCTCCTATCCTGGTGGGTAGAGGGACTTGTCCCATCTCTGCCGGCTGCTCCAGGGGCAGCAGGAGCTCCTTGCCTGGGCCAAGTCTTCCCTCAGAGCTGAGTGCCACAGGCAGGCGTGGTGGTGGTGCTGGTGTGACAAGTGTTAAGCTCATGCTGTCAGGCTCCTCCTGATCCCTCCTGCAGCTGCCCTCCTGTCCTGGTGGGTAGAGGGACTTGTCCCATCTCTGCCGGCTGCTCCAGGGGCAGTGGGAGCTCCTTCCCTGGCCCTCAGAGCTGGGTGACTCAGCAGGCCCTGGTGGTGGTGGTGTGACAGGAACCTCACCTGCCCACACCATGCCAAAAGCCAACTTTTAATTGCTCCCAGATCAGGCTGGGAAATGTTACCCTGTGTTTTGCATGATCTCATTAGCTGTTTTTAAATTAAATGGGGCTGTATACTGGGGTGCAGTCATGTGTGCTGCAGAGGAGTGAGCCCAGAGCAGCTTTGGCTCAGGACAACCAACACCTTCTTGGCCAATTCCTGGTCCCAGCAGGGGAGTTAGCACGGCCTAGACACCATCAGGGCTTTCTCCATCAGGGCTTTGGAAGCAGATACATTGTTTTGGAGACTGATCAGGTTTGATGTGGACAAACTGTGCCCACTGATGTCAGCTGGAGACCATTTCTATTTAAGCACAGGTCTGATGAGGAGCATCTGAGGGAGCTGGGGGTGTTTGGCGTGGAAAAAGGAGGCTCAGGAAGGACCTTATCACTCTACAACCACCTGAAAGGAGGTTGTACCAAGGTGGGGGTCAGCCTCTTCTTCCATGTAACAAATTATATGACAAGAAAAAATGGCCTCAGGATGCACCAGGGGAGGTTTAGGTAGGTTCTAAAAACTGGAAAAATCTCTTTACTGAAACAGTGGTCAAGCATTGGAACAAGCTGCCTTGTTCCACTCTTCCAAGGGAAGTGGTGGAATCACTGTGGTTGGAAGTATTCAAAAGTGTGTAGATGTGGTGCTTAGGGACATGGTTTAGCAGTGGACTTGGCAGTGCTGAATTAATAGGACTTGGTGATCTTAGAGATCTTGTACAACCTTAATGATTCTATGAATTAACTGGTTATGGCAATTAATCTGGACATGGCATTAAAGCAAGCCTCAAGATTTTTAGATGACCTTACCAACATGGCCCCAGCATCACAGCAGCAGTATTCTTGGGGAAGAAACAAAAAACTGGAAAGTTTTCACAGGAGAGAAAAACAGATCTGACTTCAGAAAAGGTTTAAAACAAAAGCAGAAACATTCAGACTGCCAGCAGCAGCACAGAAGAAGACTTTTTGCCCCAGCAGGCAGAGACCTGTGTTAATGAACTGAGGGGGTCTGGCCAGATCTGTGTGGAATTCAAATCAGAAGTAGGTAATGAAGCACTTGCATTTGTTGTGGGATTTTCGTGGGTGATTGTAACGTCTCTTGTTGGGCGAGAAATGCATCTCTTTGACAGGGGTGTTCTCACAAGTCCTCCTGAACCTGCAGGGGTTGTATCAAAGCTCACTTGAAAAATGTGACTATTGAGGCCTGAGCTGAACTTCTGAAGGTACTTCAGAACCCATCTGTGCATTAATATTTATGGCTTGGCATTCTCTGCTAATTACAGATACAATAGTAAAGAAGGAGTTTGTCAGTGTGTAGAGTAGGTGATTTTCCTGAAAGAGAGCAGGGGAAGCTGCTTGAAAATATTTTCCCAAGACATTTTTCAGGCAGCTCAAATTTTGCAGAGTGAAACAGGATAATCTGACAGAAATTATAGTTTCTTAGTGATTGGGCAAACTTTTAATCAGAACCCACTAGATTACTAACAATGTTTGAAATATGTGAGAATTAGCCCAGTGATACCAGGTCATAGTCAGCCTTTCCCTGGTGATTCAAAATGTTAATTTTGAGTCTCACAAACATTATCTGGTGCTGTTGTGAGTTCAATAAGCCTTTCCACCTATCTATAGGGAGAAGGCTAATGAGGGGACTGAGGAATGATGCATTCATAAAATGCGAAATACAGGACAATGAGAAATTTTGGTGGGCTTTTTGGGTTATTGACCATTTGAGTATTGTTTATGGGCTGTAAGTAAATATATGCTTAAGAACTGAACCCCAAGACTGTGGTCCTATGAAGTTTTGAGCTGTTCCAGAAAGTGTGAGCACACAGAGTTGTAATCAGAGTCCTTGTGAAGAGCTCACTGCCTGGCACAGAATTTGATCCTAAATTTACCAAAAGTCAAATATAATCTTTTGTGTTCTGTTTCTAAATTTGTCTTTCTTAACAGCAGACATAAGAGAAATACTTTAATAAGAAGCTATTTAAGGTCTGAATTGTCTTGAATTGATATTGATATCTATTTCTTTTTGTTGCTTATTGAGGGAGCCTGTTATGATCATGTCTCTGAAGTAGGTGTTTTGGTTAAGCACCTACTAGGTAAAATGAGTGTGAATTTTCTTGTATACAGGTGTTAGAGGCACTTTGGGAAGTGGCCTGCAGAATTTGGACAGGACATCTTTAATATAAAATAAGGATACCCAAGCTCCTCCATTGCCAGAGTCATGCTGAAGCCTCAGAAGGCCTCTGATCAGAGGTAGTTATCCAAAGAGAAAGACTTCCTTGAAAGAAAGCAAAACTGAAGTTAGTGGCATTTGCTTGTACCTTTGCTGAGGGATTAAGAGATGGTGCAGTCATCCCCTCGAGCCACTGTCACTGCAGCTTTGTCTCCCTGACATTCCCCTGCATTTGAAATCAAGTGGTTCTGATGCTCGGTGCTCTGTGGGGTTCATGCACAAGGCAAGGTGCTATTTTTGGGCAGAATTTCAAGGAGATGGAGGACAGTAAATCAAGCTGAAACTGAAAGAAAAAGATTTTTCTTTGTTCATCATTCAAAGATGATGGGGCTCTGGGGGGCAGAGCAATGAGGGGATGTCTCCTGTACTCATCCCTCACAAACTGCTCTTGCTGGATGCAGGGAAAACTTGTGCAGAGGTGTTGTAGCTCACCTCCTCTAGAAATTAAAATAAATAATTCAGAGAAGTGCATGCTTAACTAGAAGCAGTGAGAAAGGAATTTGCTTGTGTGTTTTTTGGAAGCCTTGTGCTATTCATGGTCTCCTAGGATCCAATAGATGGACCTGGGATCTAATGGGCACTCATCTTGCATGTACAGGACTCAGATATGTGCAAGGAACCGCTTTTAAGTGTCAGGAGTTTGGCAGTCCAGTAAGTTCTCTGTGCCTGTAAATAAATAAATATATGTGTGTACTTTTAAAAGTTTAGGATGTGTAAGGAGATCAGAAATGATCAATAAAATACTCTGTTCTGTCTCAGTTTGGGGCAAGGGAGATTTACTTACAACTACCAAGTGTCTTGAGGGCCAAGATCCATCAAAGTGTAGAGAAGCTTAGATTTTATTTTCAGCTGATGTGGTGGTGTTTGATCAAAGCTTGGACTCTATGATCTTGGTCTCTTCCAACCTCAATGATTTATTGGTTATTTATTTATTATGGTTTATTTTCTTTTTCTATATCATGTGTGTCTTAGTTTCTAATGTGTGCCACCCTTTGGGGGGATGGTCAGAGGCACAGTACAGGTCTCAGCAGAGCACAGCTTGTGCTTCTTCCCTTGGAGGTGCCTCTGCAAATCTCCTGCTGTCCACAGTCTCAGCAGAGCCCCTGCAGGCTCCCTGCAGCTCAGGGTGGGCATGTGCTGCTGCAGCACTGAAACCTGGAATTGTTCTCTCCTAGTGTAGGCTTAGTTTGGAATTTAGCACTGGCCAGAGATGGTTTCCAGTGGGAAGTCTGGGTATGGGCACCTTGTTTTAGAAGCTAAAAAAGTTGATGAGAATGGTGGTCCAACAACAGTGGGCCTCGGTGCCAGGGAATGGGCCCATTCAATTTATCAGGGCCAATGTATCCTGAGATCCACATCCAAAGTGCATTGAAGCCTAGGATCAAGCCCTGAACACACAGGGGACTTAAATCTCCAGGGTACCTTTCAGGATCATTAAAAAATAGCACATAAATCCAATTATTTCCCAGGTAACATGCTGATTTGATTTAGACCCATTAAGTGTAATTACCGGGTGGGCTGCAGGAACAGATAATTAGAGGGAATTGACATACTATTTAATTGGACTAAGATGAATTCCCTCTAACTGAAATCTGGATTCACCAATATTATTCAAACAATTCAGTGTTTGTTCATCCCCCTCACTTCAGAGACAGAGAACTGTGTAAGATTGTGTGTTATTGTAAGCTAGGAAATATTTGCTCCATGTGCCAGACTTTCTGGAGGGGCTGTGTGATCTAATCCTGGCTGGCAACAGGATCTCTGGAGCTGCCCAAGTCATGCTGAAGAAATAACTTCACCTCTCTGCATCCCAGCAATACCACTGCAGCTGATTTTATTTGGTTTGGTTGCTGCTCTGGGCTATTGCACCAGCAGAGATCCATCTGCCCCTGCACAGCAGCTCTTTGCCCATTATGGCTTTTTGGTTGGTTGATTATTTTTTGGCTTTGCTGTTTCAAAAGTGTCACTGCTCCTGAACAAAATAGGGACATAAATGTTTGTCCTGCTCTGCAGAGGAAATACTTAGGGTGAGATGTGTTGTCTGAGTGGCCATTTCAGGCAGTGCTGTCAAGAAAGGAGATGGCTTCTACCTTATTTATTTGA